ATATATATATATATATATAGCCTCCCATTGGGGGAACATTTTGGATCTATTACATGCTTATGATTACAAAAAGTAAGGAGACAACTTCCAAATAGAGGCTTCTTTTTACTTGCTCTGGTCTCACAAACCTATTCAGCTAAGCCTGAGCATCATGTGACTACATGATGTAGGGATGAGCAATAACAAGGAGACAGCGATTTTTCTCCCGTCTTTACCTACCAATTTGCAATCATGAAGGCTTGAGTAACTTTTACTCTTCTACCATTAAGGAAGAAAAACAGAAAAAGAAAATGGCTGCAAAGTTGGAAATAGCAAAATTTCTTCAAGAAACCATGACAGAAATGGCAAGGAGGAACAGAGCCAAGATGGGTGATGCCTCTACACGGCTCTCATCCTATGTGAAGCAGGTGTCCATCTTTTTCATAATGCCAAACAACTTCAGGGCTGGGAGTTATATGAAAGACACATGTCCTCATGGATTTCCCAAATTGTTCACCATCTTTGAAATTGCAAATATCTAAATTACGAACATAATTAAATATTGTAAACATGTAATATTATAAACATTGACAGTAGTTTGCAGAAAAGCCTGCCTTAAAGTAATCAACATGTTGAAGACCTTGATAACTTCTTGGAAAGAACAGTAGATTTCGAGTCAAACTTTTGAACTACTGATTTTTCAGCTGATATAGTTTGACTTCAGACAGATATCTTTCCTGTATACTATGAGGCCCATTTCCAGATGTCAGACAGAGTCCCATAAATGCTTTGACGTCACTTTCAAATAGCCTAGTGGGAAAGTTAAATTAAGTAGGAAACACATTTTAATTGGCCTCTTTATCCCACTGCCTAGGTCCAGACAGGCCACAAGCCCAGCACAAAGGAGATAGTTCAATTTTCCAAACTGTTTGAGGACCAGCTGGCCCTGGAGCAACTAGATCGCCCTCAGCTGGTTGCCCTTTGCAAACTGCTGGAATTGCAGACGTTTGGAACCAATAACCTGCTACGCTTTCAGCTCCTGATGAAACTGAAGTCTATAAAAGCAGATGATGAAGTAAGAACTTAACCATAGCTCTAGGGAATTAGCAAGGTTTTAGGAGATACCTTAGGGTGCCTGTGGGATGAAGTGTGCAGTATTTTTTGTTTTTGTTTTTGAGGCAAAGTCTCACTCTGTCGCCCAGGCTGCAGTGGCGCAATCTTAGCTGATTGCAACCTCCGCCTCCCAGGTTCAAGCGATTCTCCCGCCTCAGCCTCCCAAGTAGCTGGGATTACAGGCATGCACCACCACACCTGGCTAATTTTTGTATTTTTAGTAGAGATGGAGTTTTACTATGTTGGCCAGGTTGGTCTTAAACTCCTGGCCTCAGGTGATCCACCTGCCTCGGCCACCCAAAGTGCTGGGATGACAGGTGTGAGCCACTGCGCCTGGCCAGAAGTGCAGTATTTTCTGTTGGGTCTAGTCATGTTGAGTTCTGGCAAAATGAGTGGTTCAAACAACTATTACTATGACAACTTGAGCCTTGATTACTCATTTGAGGAGCTGTCATCCTCTTCCTCATTTTCTTGAGAAGGCCATCATAAGCAGTTAGCAATTTGGATATCTTAGCTGGGACTCATCTAAAGCAGTTAGGATCTGCTGGGAAGGAAATAACAGCTCAGTAGATTCCTGACAAATCTCTGCTCCCACACTTCTGCTCTCATACTGGGAAGCTGGTGCCAAAGTCAATATTCTGCTGGGCGCATTGGCCTGCCAAGAAGGGGTAGCTGGCTTGGTATGCAAAGCATAATGCTGCGAGGAAAGCAGAGCCTCAACATCTTGTAGAAGAAAGGCATCCTTGGACTGTAACTACTAATTAGGCTTTTTAAAAAAATGGATGGAATGTTTCTTGACTCAGAATCAGCTGATTTAAAAGCATTTCGCCCAGGGGAGCAGGTTTCCCAGAACTGAGAACGCATGATCCCTTTGGCCCCATTTAGATTTCAGTTGTTGCTCTTAGAACTTTGGAATAAATACTGGCCCCAGATATACCATCATTTTGGGTTACGCCAAGCAGAAATTGTTGAAAAAATGTGCACTTTGAATGAAGAGACCTTCCAAACAGGCTTTGTGTGAGCAACATGGCTGTTTATTCACCTGGGTGCAGGTGGGCTAGGGCTGGAAAGGGCATTAGCAAAGGGTAGTGGGATAGGAGTTGGTTTTATAGGTTTGGGTAGTTTTTTGGGGAGTGGAGGTGTTGCAGAGTAAGATCAGTTATAGTGGTGGGGGGTAGGGGCAAGGGAATATACATGACCACAAATTCAGTTACAATGGCAGGGTTGGGTGAGAGGTATTTACATTCTCATAAGAACAGTTAAGATGGCAGGATTGGGTGAGGGGCTTGTCCAGGGAAGCGATCAGGGACAATGGTGAACACAGGCAGGGGTGGGAGACATCAGCCAGGGCAGGCAGGACTTCAGACTTTCAGGCTCCAGGTTTGCATATGGAGACCTGACATAAACTGTAGTATATACTGAGGGAGTTTTATGAACCAGTGTGTCAGGGCCATTTCTGGGGTTGGTGGGAGGACAGCAGGGGAGAACACTACAGGGACATGCAACAAATGGTACATTGTAAGCTTTCAAGTGAACTACTTTTTTCTAATGAACCATAAAACTGCCATGGAAGAGAAAAGTAGATATGTCACAACCAGACAAAATGCAGATCAAGAGGGGAAATAATTACTCTGATGACAGAATGTTGGGGAGGAGTTGTGTAAGTATCTCTGATATTGCTAATACCTGTTGGCAGGATTCCCATTATTTCAACTGCTACCTCCCTACTTCGCCTTTGCAGCAGCAGCCAGTGCAGGGGACGAGGTGTCCAAGCCTCCGATTCTGTTTCCACTGATTTGTTGGAATTTAGGGATTATGTAAAATCGGAATCAAAAGCTCCAACTCCATCCCTTACATTTCTTTCAGATAATTGCCAAGGAAGGGGTGAAGGTATTGAGTGTATCAGAACTACAGGCTGCCTGTAGGGCCCGAGGGATGAGATCACTGGGTCTCACAGAGGAACAATTGCGACAACAGCTCACAGAGGCAAGTAGCAGCACCACTCCAGGGCACTCTTCCCCAGAACGCTCCCCCCACTACAATATGCAAACCTCCTCATGTGATTTCTCCTTTGCCAGTGAACCATCTTACCTAATTTGCCTTATTTTATTGAGCAGTGGGATGCTGAAGAACTAGGTTGATTTTTCCCTTTGATTGAGATCAGGTACTCTATCAGTTTTCTATTGCTGCCTAAGAACCATGAACTTAGTGGCTTAAAATCAGTGTATTAGCTCACAGTTGGTAGGTCAGAAGTGTAGGCTGTATTCCCTTGGAGGCTGTGGGAAAGACCTGCTTCCAAGTTCATTCAGTTTGTTGGCTGAACTTAGTTCCTTGCAGCTGTCGGACTGAGGTCTTTGTTTCACGGCTGGCTGTGAGCCCCAGGCTACTCTCAGCTCCTAGTGGCCACCTGTATTCCTTGCTTCTTGGCCCTCTCCATCTGCAAAGCCGGCCTCAGAGGACTTCTCACATGCCAGAGCCTCCTCGTGCTTGAAATCTCCAGTTTCCCCCGTGTTTGACCTCTAGCCCCCAATTTATGGTCTCATGTGATTAGGCGAGGCCCATCCAAATAATCTCCCTATCTTAAGGTCAACCGACTTGGGACCTCAATTACATCTGTAAAATCCTTTCATACAGTGCCTAGAATACTGTTGAGTAACTAGAGGGTGTGGGTACCTCAGGGACAAGGTGTCTTGGGATCACCTTAGAATTTTACCTACTCCACGTAGTGTAAAGGGTCCTGGCAAAAATTTCAGTTCAAGGCCTGTCATCTGTGTGAATCTGTCTGGGGGTCCCCACTTTGCCTGGTGGCCCACCTTGGGCTGTTTTTCAATTAGTGCCCCAAACCAACACATGCTGTGATAACCCATGTTTAATATTTTCCTCAGATAGCATATTTATACTAAGAACATCAATGCTTTAAAACAAAGGAGTAACTCCTATTACATTTCATTCCTATCATTGTTAAACATTCCATGAAGAACGTGCAGATGGTGTTAGGAAAGCAGCCATGGTGTGGCTTGGAAATCATGGGTTGGGGGAGTGGAGGTGATTGGAAGCTATAACTGAGGGAGGCGCTAGATGACTGTGGGTTCCTCCGGCTCCGGCGTTCTGTGATTCTCACAATGTTGTTCCCCTTCCATTCTCCAGTGGCAGGACCTCCACCTAAAGGAGAACGTCCCTCCTTCCCTTTTGCTCCTGTCCCGTACCTTCTACCTGATAGATGTGAAGCCCAAGCCAGTTGAGATACCACTCAGTGGAGAGGTGAGTACCTGGGTTAATGTGGACCCTCAGTATCCATCCAACTGAGGCCTCTCCATGAATGCTTGGTGTAATCTTGCAGTCAGAGCAGGCATTTCTTTTGGCCTTTTAGAATTTGGCCCAACTAGCTTTATATGTTTATATGTTTTTAAAATTCCCCAAAATACACACAAAACAAAAACAAAGGCTAGGTGTGGTGGCTCGCATCTGTAATCCCAGCATTTTGGGAGGCCGAGGTGGATGGATCACCTGTCAGGAGTTTGAGACCAGCCTGACCAACATGGTGAAACCCCATCTCTACTAAAAATACAAAATTAGCTGGATGTGGTGATGCATGCTTGTAATCCCAGCTACTTGGGAGGCTGAAGCAGGAGAATTTTTATATTTTTAGTAGAGACGGGGTTTTTCCATGTTGGTCAGGCTGGTCTCGAACTCCCGACCTCAGGTGATCCGCCTGTGTCGGCCTCCCAAAGTGCTGGGATTACAGGTGTGAGCCAGCACACCCGGCCAGGAGTAGTTTATTCCTTTTCCTTAATCTATCTCATCTTCATTAGCAGACTGGTGTGACTTGTTGTGTGTGTCTGTGTGTTTCTGCTGCTTTTTTAGACTGAACAGTTCCTGTTCTATTTCATTCCAGATTCCTATTAATTTTTAAGCATTGATCGGCTAATCTAGAATGTCCTTCAACTCAATTCCTTAATCATTTTCCTTCATAGTGTTGTGTGGAAGAGCACAGGATTGGCCCAGTCACTGCAGCATCTTGCTCTGGGCCCATCAGAAAGGGCCTCCTGCTTCTCTAGCTGGTGGCTTCCTGTCTGACTCAGAACCCTGCATGAGTAAGAAAGGAAAGACTCTTGTAGAAGATGCTACACTGTGGTTTAGGGGATCAGTCAAAGTACTAAATGAGGACCAGTCATTTTACATCTTAATTAGATATAATTGAGACGAGCCTTGGACAAGCCAAGGAAAATTATTTGAAGTCCAGTATGAAAACTCGACTTCAGGAAACACCATCTTGCTTTCCGTTTTCATATCTGATTTTGGGATTTGTCCCCGAAAAATTCTAGGGAGACTGGGAGCAGTTTTAGAGTATAGACCATGTTCTAAAAGGCAGGGTAGTGGGTTCTTATTCTATCCAACTCTTGGATCCATTCATTCAAGACAGACCAAAATTAATTGTCATTCTTAGATTGCTCTAGAGGCAAGAAAATCTTGGAGGAGCTCATTGTCTCAGCTAAATTTGGGTTCTAAGACTTATTCTAGAGGGCCATAAACTCTTTATCCAGATGTTGCTTTCTGGTATGGGTGAAAAAGGAATTAAGGACAAAATGATTAGCGCCTAAGCATATTATTGGCTTTTTTTCCAGCCATATTTTAAAACTTCTATTCTACATGTAGATATACAAAATGAGAACAAGTAGCATGCTAGGTTCTGTGAAGAACAGAGAGACATCAAATCAAATATACTGTAATATAGCTACCTATTCTATCACTACCCCCATTCTGATCGTTATCTATTTTAATACCACCCCTCTCCCCATCTTCCTTGTGTTACAGGAGCTTACGATTTTAGTAAGTCAGGCAATTTTATCATTTATTATTAGATACTAAAAATGATAAAGATGCAATTTAGACCAAGTTATATCAATGCTATTAGAAAATGATAATTGAGGCTGGGTGTGGTGGCTCACACCTGTAATCCCAGCACTTTGGGAGGCTGAGGCAGGCGGATCACCTGAGGTCAGGAGTTGAAGACCAGCCTGGCCAGCACGGTAAAACCCCGTCTCTACTAAAAATACAAAAATTAGTAGTCAGTCATGGTGGTAGGCGCTTGTAATCCCAGCTACTCAGGAGGCTGAGGCAGGGATAACGCTTGAACCCAGGAGGTGGAGGTTGCAGTGATCTGAGATCATGCCACTGCACTCCAGCCTGGGTGACAGAGTGAGGCTCTGTCTCTAAAAAAAAACAAACAACAACAAAAAATAAAATGACAATTGAGAAATGGCTTTTTATTTTTGAGGCCGACAGCAGGATCAGTATTGGCAAATCAGTAGATTGCTAATGAATGAGTATTTTAAATGCTAGAATGAAATGAGAGTGCAACTTTTATATATAAAGTACTCAAGACTCAGAGAAATAATACTAAGTTGCTATGTCAGGGGCATATTTCCTGTGTTACTCATAAAAGGGTATAGTTGGAGGAGGAAGTTAGGGATTTAGTGGAAAGCAAATTGTGCTAAAAAGGGTACTGACTACTGTAAAAGTTTCTGAGTTTTAGGAAGAGCAGAAAGCTTATGATATATAGAATGTTTCTCTCCCCAGGCTCCAAAGACAGATATTCTTGTGGAATTACCTACTTTCACTGAATCTAAAGAGAACATGGTGGATCTTGCACCTCAACTGAAGGGAACTAAGGTTAGATGGTTACTTTCCATTTGGTTAATTAGACTAAAAAATGAAAATAGCAGTAGGTCAATTTCTCCCATTTTAATCCCCTTAATGAAATTGAAATTCAATACAATGTTCCTTAATAAGGAACATTTATTGTACTGTTTGATCTGTTTCTAAGGAAGCTTAATATTCTGTAATTAGGTTTCAGATTTTGCCTTTTGAATCCTGTGCCAGGATATGAAGTCGTTGTGACAAGTTCCTGGTAGTCAAGGCAGTGGACTGTAGATTAATACACATTTTGTTTTAAATCAGTAACCCAACTCTGAGTTCTGATGTTTAAGGATGAAGACTTTATACAGTCGCCACCAGTTACATCATCACCCATAACACCATCAACACCTCTTTCATTACCTAAAGGATCCATCACTACTTCTAAAGAAGCTGTAAGTATCTTTAATAAAAGAAAAAGAAAGAGAAAACTCTTTCCCTCTAGTTATCTTTAAGGGTAGTGAGAATCTAGAATTAGTCCTGTTGCAAAACACTGCACAATTCTTCCTGTTGTCCAAACAGGAAATTGTAGGCTGAACTTTAGTCATCTTATAACTACTATGTTTTTTACTTCAGCTATCCAAAAGCAGAAAAAAAAGATCCACCAATACAATTGTGGGTCAGACAAAAACATGCCAAGCGTAGAGGCCAATTACAATAGGCAGACTCTTTTTTTTATGTGCCAGATGGAAATAGTTTCTATGTGATGTGTATTTTACACGGGCTTCTGATGTCAGGAAATACTAGCAGGAAGGCAACTTGAATTTCAGGAGAAATGCATGTAAATAAGAAATTACTTATCTATCATCCAGTTTTCCCATTTGGGTGAAGGGATTTGGGGCAGTAGCACAGGGCATGACACAGAGCACAGAGTAAACAGTGGGGAGGGAGACTGTGGAGAGCTGAATTGGGAAGTGGCTCTTGTAGACCAAAGACGCTCCTGGTAGGACAGAGAATCTATGAAGACACAGATGGGTAAGCCCAGAAAAGCAGCCAAGGCCCACATAGACCTCGTTTTTTGTGCATCCTCTTTATCTTTTATTATCAAGGTAAATTATAATCTCAGATTTGACTTTGTGGTCTGTCACTATTTTGATTAAGAAAACAAAAAAGGGATTCACTCCTAAAGAATTCACAAGTCTAATTGTGACTAATGCCTACAGTCCTTATGTTTTTTATGTCTAGACACTCCAGGCCAAATCACAAAAGACAGAACAGCAAGGCTAGTTCAAAGGAGCATAAGGACTACTTGAGGATGGAGCTTACTCTCTCCAGCTTCTGGCCCTGAACAGTGGAATCTTTAAAGGACCTCCCAGCTAAGACTCTGGCTTCAGAGCGAGGATCAGCCGTTTAGCCCATGGGGCAGTCCTTTGAGGCCTTGTAACCATTCCAGGTGATGTGAGTAGTGAGACCAAGTTCAGGTCATTTAGAAAAATATAATTGCAAAGTCCCACTCCTCTGTACCATTGCCACCCCACTCAACTTTGTGTAAAGCCCACGCCCCACCATATTGTTTTTTAACAGCCTCTTGTGCACATCCTTTTACAGAGGAAATTTTTTTGCATAATGGAATCAGCTTGGCACATTAGATATCTCTGTCTCCTATGGCTTGGAATTCTAAGTAAGAACTTGGAAGCTCCAAAAACCATTTTAAGAGCACCTGTTTAACTTTCTGAATGACCCATCAGTAGGATCAGCACCCTGGAAACAAAGTACCTTATGAGACGGGATGGATATACTCCTCAGTAAGATCTTTCTGGATATAACGAAGAGAAGCTGCTTGGAGAAAATGGGGAGTTAAACATTGGCAAGCAGAAAAGATCTGGCTGCTTAGTTGTTCTGACATCCTCCTCTTGGGCCTTGCAGAGGCTGCAGGAATCTGAGAGGCAGCCACTCTTCTAGCACATATGGCTTTCATTAGCCACCATTTTGCGAGGAAGCATAATTAAGGGTTTAAGCCTTAACCATTTGTTTGTGTTGGGGGTGTGTTTCTGGTCAGTTTATCTTTCACAAACAAGACTGTTAGTCATAGGGGTTGTGAAGGTCTGCTATAATCCCTGGACTACCCAGCAACAAGTATTACATTAGGATACTTATGTTTGGTGTTTTCAGTATTGCTAATACTACGTAACAGACAGACTGCCAGCAAGCTGACCAAGAGTTTTCTTCCCTTGGGGAGTGGTTAGAAGGCTAAAGGTATTTCAGCCTGTAGGTGATAAAATTAGACTTACTTGCTGTGGTTAGATGGCAGTCAGTTAAAACGAAATTCAACTGTCCTGTCTGGGATCACCTAAATGTGAATGTCACCAGCACTTCAAGAATATGCACTCTACGATGCCTTCTAAACTCCTGCTCCATCAGAGGAGCCCCATGTCCCACTAATGAAGCCCAGTTCTTAGGGAATGAATTCCTACCGTGCAAATACAACAGTCATGGATCCTGCCTAGTGAGGTGATTCACAATACATTTTCCCATTTTTAAAATGATGGGTTTTAATTAGCCACATTGCAGGTGTTAAATGTGGGAAAGGGATTAGCTAGTTAAACTTGCTCAACCCTGTTTTAGCTGAGTGAGTCATACTGTTGGGCTGTCCTGTAGTTCCTTCTGGCTTGCTCTCCAAGCAGGGTGGGAATGAGCAGTCACCCGGTCAAGAAACCCCAGCCATCTGATACGCCTCTCCTCCCACTCTTCTGCTAGCAGCAGTCAGGGATGTTTCATTGTTCTCATTACTTAGGGGGCTTGGCTGTTGGGCTCAGTGATCCTTATATCTAGCCCCAGCCAGTGGTGTTCTGGTAAATCATTAGCCACCAACTCTTTGATGGGGGGAAAGCCCTGATAAATAGCATCTGCCTATTCCAGTGATATAAGTACTCCCACCATGTTGATTTTAAGCCACTGCCATGGTAGCCCTGGACAGTGCAGAGCTGGGAGGAGACGTGCAGTGTTCCCAGAGAGCCACACACATTGCTGCTAGCCTCCCAGGGTAGAGACAATTATACCTCTTTTAGCATATTTATGAAATAGATCTCTTCTGTGTGTGAAGACCAGTATGTAGGGCAGTATGGTGGAAATGGTTCTGAATACTTTTGAGGATCCACCTAGAGGGAACCCGCCCAGACTAAGTCTTAGTAGTTGGGTTCTTGCCGACTGCCCTCTTCCCTGGCCCTCCTCAACGGAGGGAATGGAAGGCTGTGCCGGCTGCCTCAGAGCTTTTTCCTCTCTGCTCCCTTCTCTATAGATGCAGATACCTTGGCTATACCTGCTGCTAATGATCTCACTGGCTATGACTTCAGACAATTTTTTTTTTAAAGATGGACTCTCACACCGTCACCCAGGCTGGAGTGCAGTGGTGTGACCTTGGCTCACTGCAACCTCCGCTTCCTGGGTTCAAGTGATTCTTTTGCCTCAGTCTCCGGACTAGCTGGGATTACAGGCATGCACCACCATGCCCAGCTAATTTTTGTAGAGACAGGGTTTTGTCATGTTGGCCAGGCTGGTCTTGAACTCCCAACCTCAGGTGATCTGCCCACCTCGGCCTCCAAAAGTGCTGGGATTACAGGTGTAAGCCACTGCGCCCGGCCACTTTAGGCATTCTCTAAAACCCAACCGCAGTGATGCTAGATGTGGCCTGTGTCTCACACAGAATTCTGCTACAACAGATGTGGTGGCCTGACACTTATGGCCTTGCACCTGTGTCATATCTAATTCCAAAACAAACCACATATCAATTGCTCTGTAATGCCAAATCTAGGCTAAAGATTTCCCACTCACCACCAGCACACACTAACAGGTAGTAGTTAGACCAATGTGACTTGACAGCAGACTGGTGTGTCACCTAATGCCAATTGAGACTTTAGTTCGCTGACCCCATCCAGAGGTGGCTAATAAGCACAGCAACCTCATTATCATTGAGACAGATTTCTTGCCTCATTTGATGCTCAATCTTACTTACCTGAGATCAATACATTACATTAGCAAGGCCAAGGGACCAATGATTCCCAGCCTATGACAATTTGAAAAGACGGAACAGAAAGGCAATATTGATTAATGCTGTGGTGATCCCAGCCCTAATCTTTTAACCCTCAGGAAACCAGAGAGACTCAGCGCCTAGATAGCACAACATCTTCATTGGATAAACTGGATTCCTTTCCTCAGGAGACCCAGTCTGGTCCTCTAAGTAAAATGGCCATTTCATTTTCTCTCAGGTCAATTTCATTCTCTTTTATTTGACAGCTAGTGCAGTCTTTGGGGAAATTCATGGGTGATTTGAGTAGTAACAGCAAGGACATCACTGTAATAATGATAGTGCCTTATATTTTTCTAGCACCTCTCCCAAGGCTTATTCAGCCTTTTAGATTCTTCATCCCTTCACACAACATTGCTTCAAGGTAGGGCCAAGGCAGAAATTATCATCACGATTTTACAAGGAAAGACACTCCTGTGCAGCCTCAAAGCAAATGATTTTAAGAGCTAAAAATTCATTTCCTGGCTCTGTTCACCAAATGATGCCTTCTTTAAACATAAATACAAATTGTAATGTAAGCAGGTGCATATTTACAGAGAGAAACAAAGAGAACTTTACAATAGTGACCAACACTGCAGCTGCCAAGAAATACCTAGCACGGAAATTTAAAGCAGCAATCCCATTTTCCCTACAGAAGTGAAAGCATATTGAACTTTCTTTTGTATTTAGCAGTAATCCAGCAAATGCAAGCTTTAATATAGCAGCTGAGTGGTAGTTTGAGCCATAAGATACTGGGGAGCCAGAATCCACTTGGTGAGGATAGTGATGACCAGCAGGTGGCAGAAGTAAATTCCAAGCAGCCAAAAACCAAAAACATTCGGAGAACTTTCCCCCCTTCCTGAGGAGCAGGGTGGAGTTTGGACAGGAAGAACTGTAAGAAGCCAAGATCTGTGACAGTCCCAACAAATACAGTCTGGTCACATGGATACAGGAAGGACGATCTGGGGAGGAATAACAACAAAAAAAGAAGCCAGGGACCTGAATGCGAAACTAGCCTCAGGTGACACGTTCTCCTGCCCTTAGAAGCACCAGCAAAACCACGCCCACACAGAGGGGGCAGACACGTCTGGGTTTGTGCTTCTGCAGACCTTCATCATTCGCTTTCCTTTTTGTTTTTTTGAGATGGAGTCTCACTCTTGCCCAGGCTGGAGTGCAATGGCGTGATCTCGGCTCATTGCAACCTCTGCCTCCCAGATTCAAGGGATTCTCCTGCCTCAGCCTCCTGAGTAACTGGGATTACAGACGCCTACCACCATGCCAGGCTAATTTTTGTATTTTTAGTAAAGACGGGGTTTCACCATGTTGGCCAGCCTGGTCTTGAACTCCTGACCTCAAGTTACCTGCCCACCTCAGCCTCCCAAAGTGCTGGGATTACAGGTGTGAAGCTTCCTCTTAATCACTTTAGCTCTACCCCGTGTGGCTATTCCTAGGTAGGTGTCCCCCTCCCCAGCTCAACCCCACAGGTTTCCTCAGAGGGAACCATCTGTGGTCGATGGCTCTGGGCCTTGGCCCTCTGCCCAGCGCCTCTAGTGCATGGACGGGGGTTCCTGCCCTTGATGCAGACATCTTTTCCTGACTTTCCAAAAGTATCGGAGAGGCAGGAGGTGTGTCGTGAGGTCTGGGCGCGGGACCTAGGAGGAAGAGGTTACAAGGAACCTGCGCAGGGAGCGTGCGGTGCCCTTGTGACAGAGCCAGCCCCAGAGCCTGTGAGTGTCCCTCTTCCAGTGGACATTCTTGCCCTTTTCACACAGTCCATAGAAAAATTAAGCAGCAGCAATTTTTATTGAGGGACCTAAACTGAAATAGGTTTAGAACATAATTTAAAAAAATAAAACAGCAAAAGTAGCAAAAAATATATGACCTTTTTAAAAACATTTTCTTTTTTTTTCTTTTTTCTTTGATTTTAATATATAGCAACTGATGCCTCCCAGCCACCAGGGGCATCTTACCCGACGGGTAAATCTCTGGTAATGACCCTTTTAAAAAGACATGTAAATATATACTCAGATTTATACACTTTGTGTTTTCTTCATAGCTATGTACAGAGCCCCCAGTTCGGGGCTGAGCCCCAGGGCCACAACACTGCCCCCAACCTGGCCTTCGCCTCACCATCCTCTGGTACCAGGCATTTGGTCAGCAAAGCAACTATCAGAATTAATAAGCCACTGGCACCACCTATCTGGAGCAGAGGTCACCTTCGATTGAGGCCCAAAGCACTGATCTCCCTACTGCTGTGGCCCTGAGGACAAGGCACCTGCCGCCAGAGTGCTAGGGGCTTCTAGGTGAAGGCGAAACACACCAAACCCAAATGAGAAAGCTCAGGAGGCTCTCACTTGCATGCCTGTTCATCGGCTCCCACTCCCTGCCTTCCAGGCAGGACCTGGTGGCAGGGAGGGGTCTTGGTCCAACATCTGGGAGGGGACGAAGTGGCCGGCAGCAAGGATCTGCCTCTTTGCACCTCTCACTGCCAGGTGGAGAGGAGGAGGAGGAGGAGGAGGAAGAGGTGAGCTGAGCGGGGCGAAGGTAGGCCACACAGGAAGGCCCCTGGTAGGCAGCCAGCTCCTGCCAGCAGGAAAGGGGACAGAGACGGACAGGCGGTGGGCCTGGCAGGGGCTGTGGGTAAGGATTACAGCTGATGGTGGAGTCTGAGGAGGGTGTGGAGGGTGGCAGTCAGCGGCGTTTGAGTCCGCCATTGGCAAGCTGGGCTGGGTGTCGGGGCAGGCAGGGCTCCTCAGGCAGCGGCTCATGAGAGAAGACGGAATCCTCCCCTGAGGAGCACGTAGAGCTCCGGGTGTCGGGAAAGCTGGGGGAGTACTGGTCCAGGGGCATGGACAGGTCCAGGTACTCCTGTGAGGGGCGAGAGGAAGCAGCAATGGGCTGGGCCCCTCCTCCCTGCTCAGAGAGGTGCATGTGCGCAGTGGGGACGGCCTGAGCTCTGGCACAGGTAGCCTTACCTGGTTGGAGGTCAAGGCCACGATGCGGTCCAGGTCTTCCACCAACTGCTTGAAGGTGGGTCTCTGTGAGGGCACTGCATGCCAGCAGTCCCGCATCATCATGTACCTGGGGCAGGACTGTAAGGTCAGGGAGGAAGGGCCGCCTCCTGGAGACGGACACCCTCTAGTATAGCCCCCTGCCCCTCAAGCCCACTCTTTCCCCAGGGCCTGGCTTGGGGCCTCCGACATCTCCTCAGACTTACAGCTCGTTGGTGCAGTTACTGGGCTTGTCCATGCGGTGACCCTCCTTCAGCAGCTTGAAAAGCTCCTCCACAGGCACACCGGGGTATGGGGAGCCACCCAGAGTGAATATCTCCCACAGGAGCACCCCAAAAGACCACCTGCAGACAGATGCAGAGCCATGGGTGTTAGAGCTTCTCCACCTCCCCTCCCCCAGCACAAATCCTCCACCCAGGGCAGTGCCAGAAGACAGCATGGAGAACAGATCAGCCTTCAACATCTGGAGCAGAGGCAATGGCCACAATATTTGGTTTTCTCTTGGGGCGGAAGGACTCCTCCGTCCAGGGGGAATGCAGGACTCTGCGGTGCTGGAAGTTCTTTAGACTTTCTTTATCCCATGCCTCCCTGGCAGCTGCTTATTGCCAACTCACACATCACTCTGGTGGGTGTAGATCCGGTCAAACAATGCCTCAGGCGCCATCCACTTCACAGGCAGTCGACCCTGCAAGCAGTACAGGCGAGGGTGGGGTGGCCCCAGGCAGGGCCGTGAGAACACAGGTGGGAAGGGACTGGGGGATGGGTTCTCAAGCCATCCCACCCACCCCTCGATTCTCAGTGAAACCACCAGCATGGGGCAGCCCTGTTGGCACTCACGTTGGTTGTCTTTTTATAGTAGTCGATGTGGTGAATGTCCCGTGCGAGGCCGAAATCCGCAATCTTCATCACGTTGTCCTCTGTCACCAGGACATTCCTGGCGGCCAGGTCTCGGTGTATGCACTGAGGAAGGAGGAATGGAGAGCAGGGGGAGGCAGGTGAGGGAACTGGAAGGCTCTGGGGGCCGCCACCCATGCAACTGGCCGACTTGCCTCACAAGACTTCTCCTCCCACACCATTCTGCCCCTGAACCTTTGCTTTCCCTTCTAGAACGTTCTCTGCCAGCTCCAGGCTTCTCAATCATCACAGCAAGTGCTCCTCCCTTCCCTCGCCGAAGGCTGGCCCTTTATGCCTCTGCTTTGTCTGACACCGCGCGTGTTTCTAGGTCCTGCCTCCCAGCAAAGCAAGTCCACACTGAGCTGGGCTCAAATCAAGCTAGCGCTTACACACCAAACACTGCACTCAACGC